TTTTTCCATAAGAGATTGGTTGTGATCATTAACCATTTATAACAAACTCCATTTAAATGAAAACAAATATGTATAAACAATATCTGGGAATTTGGGTATCATTATCTACAAACTGCTTCCTGCTGTTTGGGGACACTGTCAATCCCAAAGGATCCTGAAAAAAAAAGAAGAAGAAGAAGAAGAAAGAAAGAAAAACAAAAACAATTAGAAATCTGGCCAAATCCTGGCCAGGTAGTCTGCAAGGCTGTATCATCTCAGTTGTTTTGGATGTTGAATCACCTGAGCCACTGCTTAGAGGACCTTGCTTCATCAAACCATATTAGTCTGGAAGGAATTCACAGCTTTTTTTCCCCCCCTGTGGAAACAAAATCAAATCTTTTTTCCTAAATAACATGTCTTTAGACTGAATTTTTTTTACAATGTTTCATTTAAATTTGAAACAAGCTTCTTTTACATATCAATCCCAGTTCCTGCCCCCCCCCATCCTCTCCTGTTCCCCCTACCAACACACACCTCATCCCCTTTTTGCTCCCCAGGGAGGGTGAGGCCTTCCATGGGGTAGACTGAAATTCTGAAGTCAAGGCATTTTTAAAATATATAAATTGGATTAATCCAGCAGCATTTATAATCAACTGTCTGTTAGCAACTGTTGCTCTTTCTTCAGCAATCAAATAATTCAAAGACAACACAATAACATACAGTATCCAGACTCTCTGTGTACTTTCCATCTTTATGTGGCTTTTTTTTTTCAATTATCACTCTATTTCTTTTCCTTGCAATTTTTGTTTGTTTGTTTGAAACTGAGTTTCTCTGTGCACTTCTGCCTGTCCTAGAATTCACTCTGTAAAGCAGGCTGTCCTTGAAAACACAGAGATCTGCTTGCCTCTGCCTCCCGAGTGGTGAGATTAGTGGTGAGTGCCACCACACCCAGCTACTCTATTCCTCTAGTCCTTTTTTAACCACCCAAACCTACATATACTTTTTAACACACTGTAAACCCTTTAGAGATTTTTCTTCATCTGAATCTGTCTTTACCATGTATCTCCATCTTTTTCTGGCCACTAGACTTTTATCTGCTAAACATCTTTGCTGAAAGAGCCTTGTGGTTTTTCCTATTTGGGCTCCCTTAAAGAAGCTTCAAGCCTCTGCTTGTCTCTAGCAAACAGAGCCCACCCGAGAAAATGCTGCTACCAAGAAGTTATGCTTCCTGTTGTTCTTTTGTTTCTAGAATTCTTTTTTGAGTTTTTGTTTGGTTTTATGTGGAAAATCTCACCCCTTGTGTGTGCGCCATTTTTTTTTTTTTTTTTTTTTTTTTTTGTTGAAAGTTTCTTTTGTCCCACCTATCATTCCTACCTGGCCATTAGCCAAACAGTGTTTTATTCATTAACCAATAAGAGAAACATATATATATAGAAAGATATCCCCATAACAACACTAAATTCTGCTCCCCCACATGTCCATGCTGAGAAGAATAAGCCTGGGAGAGTAGGAGTAGAAAAGGAGTCTGTGCCTCAGAAGGCAGGAAATCAGGAAGGCATGCCAGAAGACAGATGGAGAAAGAATGTATGGGTTGTGTGCTCTGGGAGTCTCTGCTGTCACAAAATTGCACTTCCTGCATAGTTGAACAAGGCCACACATTGGGCACCAGATGAAAATGATTCTTTTTACCATTTATTACTTTACATCTCCCATCCACAAATATTAAAGGAAAAAGAAAAGCTGAGTCAGACCCAAGCTCCCGCCAAAGCATTCAGCTACCACATGCTTCCCAGCTCAAAAGGTGCCCATGTTCCTTCCTGCTCTACCTCTCCTCACCCCCAGTCTTGTCCATCCCTAATGTAATTCCCACCTCTTGGACTAAAACACTCTTTTTAATTGCATAGCAGCTGACACCTGTCTGAGTTATATTTTTATTTGCTATAGTGAGACATCATGACAGAGGCAACAAATACAAGAATTTCTTGGGGAACTACTTACATTTTCAGAGGAGAGTTCATGAACATAATGGCAATAGGCAGACAGGCATGATGCTAGAAAGGTAGCTGAGCTCTTACATCTTAAGACAACAACCACAAGTCAGAGAGACAGCTAATTTGGTGTTGCATGGCATGAACTTTTAAAACCTCCAAGCCCTATGACACCCTTTCTCCAACAAGGACACACCTCCTCATCCCTCCCAAACAGTTCCACCAGCTGGGTACCAAGCAAATATATGAGCCTATGGAGACCAATTCAATTGAAAATTGAAAGTGCCACAACACAAGTACAAATAAGTTTATTGAAATGAATCCTATGCATAGTCAGAGCTAGTTTTCACAAAATCAAACAACTCAGACGAAATATATATATATATATATATATATATATATATATATATATTCTTTTTTACATATAGATCCCAGTTCCCTCTCCCTCCCTCCCATGCCCCCCAATCCCCCTGACCATCCCATTCTGCACCCGCCCCCACTTCAAAGGAAGGGTAACACCTTCCAGGAGGGATAATCAGAATCTGTCAAGTCATTTGTAGTTCAGGCTAGGCCCTCCCTCCTGCCTCTAGACTAAGGGAATATCCTTCCATGGGGAATGTGCTCCCAAAGTCCTTTCATTCACCAGGGATACATACTGGTTCCACTGTCAAAGGTCCCTTAGACTGCCCAGGCCTTCTAACTGAGACCCACATCCAGGGAGTCTGAGTCAGTCCAATGCTAGTTTCCCAGCTATTACTCTGGTGGTCCATGAGCTCCCCCTTGTTCAGGTCAGCTGTCTCTGTGGGTTTCTGTAGACTGGCCTTGACCCCATTTTCTTGTCACTCCTCCCTCTCTGCAACTGGATTCTAGGAGTTAGGCTCAGTGTTTAGCTGTGGGTGTCTGCTTCTGTTTCCATCAGCTACTAGATAATATCTCTATGATGGTGGATAATTTAGTTATCAATCTCATTATCTGGGAAGGGCATTTAAGGTAGCCTTTCCACTGTTGCTCAGATTGTTAGATGGGGTCATCCTTGATCCTTGTAGGTCTTTGAACATTTCTCTAGAGTCAGTTTTCTCTTCAAACCTATAATGGCTCTCTCAATTATGGCTTTTTTTTTTTTTTTTTTTTTTTTTTTGGCTTATGCCTATTTGTTCGTCCCCTGACTCAATCTTCCTGGTCTGACATGTTCTCCTCTGGTCCCTTCTCTTTGTCCTAACTCCTTCTCACTCACTGACCCCCCGCCCCCATTCTCAAAATATACTCAGGAGATCTTGTTCCTTTTCCCTTCTGTGGGGGAACTTGTATGAATCTCTTAGTTTCCTCCTTGTATCATAGTTTCTCTAGCGGTGTAAGTTGTAGGCTGATGATCCTTTGCTCTATGTCTAAAATCCATATATGAACAAGTACATAGTATATACCATGTTCCTCTTTTCATGACTGTGTCACCTCACTCAGGATGGTTTCTTCAAGTTCCATTTTTTTGCCTTCGAATTTCAAGATTCCATTGTTTTTTTTTTTTTTTTTTTTTTTTTTTTTTTTTTTTTGCTGAGTAGTACTTTATTGTGTAAATGTACCACAAGAAGCCCAGAAATATTAAGAACACTTATATCCGGATGCCAGTTGAGTTGAAAAAGAAAAAGGTTTAATTTATATTGTATAACACTGTCCCTTCCACTTTTCTTCAAATATTATATCACACCACAAAACTTGTCATACTATGTGATTTTTATTGCTTCCATGGTATTCATTTTATTTCAAAGGTCTTTGCTTTCTAAGATAATACTGTTAATATTTTCTTTGAGCACTTGTTTGCCCTCTCACACGTTGGGAACTGCCGTTTCTGACCTTTTGGGGAGTGCTTTCTTTGTGAAGTCTCTAGCCTGTTAATTCATAGAATTTGTTGACTTTGCTGCTAATTTTACTTTGGTATTTTATATGAATATGTTTTAGGAATCTTTTGTTGGCAAAGTAACACCTCCAAAGAATTTTGAAAAAATAAACATAACAGATGTAATTGTGATTATGCATGTCTGTTGTGTCTGTGGATGAGTACAGATAGCTGCAGAGCCTCTAGAGACATCAGTTGTCCTCCAGCTAATGTTTCAGATGCTTGTCAGACTCCAGATGATGCTGGGAAATGTTCTTGGATTCTCTGCAAAAACTGTACTCTCTCTTTACCTCTGAGCCATCTCTCCAACAGAAATTTGAAGTTTTAATAATCTATTTCTCATCATTGAGACTGAACACAATTCTTAATAGATCTTTTATATTGTAGCACCTATATTATTATTCTCTTTAAGTTAAAACAGCACTTTTTCACTTCATAAAGTATTGATCCTTAAAGATTTAGCTGAAGTAATAGCACATCCTTCCCTTTCCCTGGCCAGTCCATTGATCTTCCCCCTTTCCTTTAATGACTTTGCTACAGACATCCCCTCATTCTGGTTCTTCAGGTTATGAACTGAGATTGAACTGTGTTTTTAAATTGTTGATAAACTCTCACTTTTCATCCATCATAGGGTTATAGTTCTTCTACAGACCAAGATTGTATTCTCACTGACACATTTTCATAGAGATTTAAAATAAACCTCAAAGTCTCCTACTGAAACTTGGCTTCTTCTTACACACCCTGTGACCTACACAGTGAACTGAAATTCTCTACTCTAGTCATCATAATTCCAAAGTCATTTTTCTTTAGTGTGTGTTCTTCACCCAGCCTATGCCAACTCCTCATCTCATCTTCATTTAGCTTCCTGCTGTCACTCAGCTGTTGTGCCTGCTATCATTACACCATTAATTTGAAAACATTGCATTTTTCCATTTTTAAAAAGCCCAAAGTAGAATTGTTAAACAACTTGATTCAGCTCTCCATAAGTACACTCTAATCTACAGAACAATGTTCTATTGGCACTGAATCAGATAGACACCCCCTGACCTGAGTGTTTTCGTAACTTTGGAGGTTAATATTTGATTTATGTTATAGCTAAATTGTTACTCAACTGAGTAAACACTCACCCTCTGCAGAGCAGACTGGAAGGGCACATCATGGCATCTGAGAAGTGGGTCATAGCAGTTTTTGTGGTGCAATTTTGCTGTGCAGGCCATGGCTTCTGTGGCAAGGTCCTTGTATGGCCCTCTGATATGAGTCACTGGCTAAACCTAAAGACTATTCTTGAGGAGCTTGTGGTTAGAGGACATGAGGTGACTGTTCTGAAACATACATCTCTCATACTGGATCAGAATAAGTATTCTGCACTGCACTTTGAGAACATCCCTCTGCCTCATGGGAAAGAAGCTGCTGAGAGTCATCTAAATGAGCTACTGAACCTAGCTGTGAATGTCATTCCAAACTTGCCATTTTGGCAAGGAGCAACAAAATTGCAAGAATTCTTTTTACATCTGACTTCAGCATTTGAAGATCTCTGTAGGAGTGTATTATACAACCAGACATTCATGAACAAGCTCCGGGATGGAAAATACGATGTAATGGTTACAGATCCTGTCATTCCCTGTGGAGAACTGGTGGCCGAGGTGCTTCAGATCCCTTTTGTGAACACACTGAGGTTCAGCATGGGCTACACCATGGAGAAATACTGTGGCCAGCTTCCAGTTCCTCTCTCCTATGTACCAGTTATCATGGGTGAACTGACAGACAATATGACCTTCACAGAAAGGGTGAAAAATATGATGTTGTCATTGTTTTTTGAATTTGGGCTTCAGCAATATGACTTTGCATTCTGGGATAAGTTTTACAGTCAAGTCCTAGGTAAGTGACTACACTTATGCTAAACTAATTGTTAGACAATGTTTTAAAACTTAATGAATGCTTAAAAACAATAAAAGTAATGCATGTTATAAACTTTGATTTTCATATAAAAGTCTACAAGTGAAAGCAGTAAATTGTTTATTTATAAATAGTTGGAAAAGCATTATGAAATTATTTTGCTATTATTACCATGTGTTTGTAATCATTGAACTGTTGAATAGTACTTTGAAATTTAATAAATCATCATCAAACCCAAGAAAAGTGAGGTGAAGATAAGTATCAATTGAACAGAACATGATTTTATTTGTCATATACAAGAAGACAATTAATTCCAGTTCATTGTATCTTTTTCAAGAATGGAAGTTTTCTTATAAGGAAACAATATACAGTTGTAAAAATAATAAATCTTTTGTAGCAGTAATAAGATGAAATATAAACTAATTTTAGGATGAGAATAATTCAGTGTGTAATTCATTGCCTCTGAATTTCGTTCCATAAATATTACAACTGCAAATTATTGCTTTAAAATCTATGCCATTCTCCTGTCAATTGAGGTGCCTGATATTTCTATACATGCTGCAAATGCAAAACTAATCATGGAAGATGTGATTACAGCACCCCTGGCAATCTAGCACAATCAAAAATTACATATTTTATGCTATTACATACTTTTATGCCAGCATGTCTTTCCATTTGGTATTTCTTATATCATCCTGTCTTGTTAAGAAAAGAATTTGGCTAGAGAGATGGCTCAGAGGTTTAGAGCACTGACTGCTCTTCCAGAGGTCCTGAGTTCAATTCCCAGCAACCACCTGGTGGTTCACAACCATCTGTAATGGGGTCTGGTACCCTCCTCTGGCCTGCAGAACACTGTATACATAATAAATCCTTAAAAAAAGAAAAAAAAAGAAAGAAAAGGATTTGTGGATACAGATAGGCTCAGTCTCAGAATGAGCCTCAGCTTGCAAGACAAAATCAGTCATTCATGAGGAAACAGAATAAAATAAAAAATAAAATAAATGTCCTTGGTGATGTGAAAACTTTTACTGTGTTTTAATGTTTGAAGATATCAAGTCTTTTAGAGATTAATACTGTTTCTAGATTTCTGTATTTCACTGTCTGAAATACAAACTATTCTAGCAAATTTTTCACCATGACAAAGTATGATGAAGCAGCACCCAGTAACTTATGCCAAAGCCTTATTCTTCTTAAAAGGATTACATGCAGGCAGAGTTTTTCCATCCTGTCTGCCAGTTCCCTGACCCAGCAGCTGCTTTCCCATTACCACACAGAGACTTAGTATTATTTATAACTGCTCAGTCAATAGCTCAGGCTTATTACCAACTTGTTCTTCCATGTATATTAAACCAGTTCTATTAATCTATGTTTTGCCATGTGGCTCATGGCATTACTTGTCCTCCAGCACATCTTATTTCCCTGGTTTCTAGCTGTGTCTACCCCTTTTTGTCCCAACATTCTCTCTGTGTCTGGCTGTCCTGCCTATACTTCCTGTCTAGCTACTGGCCTGTCGCTTTTTATTAACCAATGAGAATTACATATTTGCAGTGTACAAAAGGGTTATTCTACAGCATTCCCCTTCTCTAATTAAAAATGAAGGTTTTTAACATAATAAAACTATATATTACTGAACATATATTAAGCAGGAATTATAGTTATGATATCCAGTCAATATTTATTTGACAAAATTAGAGAAAATATTTTACTGTTTATCTTATCTTTGTGACTCCAAAGTTTTGTACCTACTTTACTAAGGAAAGCTTTACCTATCTAGCCTTCAGCTCCATCAAAACCCCCAGGAGGATGAAATATTACCTACTAACAGGGACATCTCACTGTCTGGACATTCACCCAAAGACCTTCTATAACATTAGCACATCTACCCTAGGCCCATAGGCCAGGTATATCTGGCACACTTTTCTCAGAAGCATGGAATTTTGGAGGTCTGTCCTACTTTGTCTTGGAAAAGATTAGTAGGTGCTTTCTGATCATCAGCTTGAAGTTTAAACCACAATATCTGTCTCTGTGTCTTGTCTTTTATTTATCATGCTACATGGTTAGCTACATCTGTATGTTTCGTCCCAAAGAAAAGATTGTACTGAATATAACTTCATCAATTATTTTTTACTGAAATAATATTAAAAAATCAGTTTAAGGGATGGAATTTGAATCAGGAAGAAACCTTGGACTGAGTTTTGTGGAATCCTACAACATTGTACAAAGAGCAGAGTACAGCAAGGAATAAAACAGATGTAATCTTGGGTGAAATCTGGAAAATAATAAGAGGTGATAAAAGGCTTTAAATAGAGGTAATCTATCTTCAGCCATGCAATTGTAGAGAAAAAAATGATTGTGAAATTTATCAGTCATTATAACTATGTTTACATCATTATTGCTTTATTATTATGAAATTGTAGTTACTACTTTTACCACCCCCAATTCTTGCTTCTTTTTTCTTTCTCCCTTCCTTTAAACATATAGTCATGATTAGCATGTTAGAGGATTCAAATTTTCTTCACAATAACTTATGTAGAAATTTGGAACATTTGTGAACTATATTATTTTCTGTGTATTAGTGTTTTCCTGCATGTATGTCTGTGTGCCACATGTGTGTCTAATGCCATAAGATTTTAGAAACCATAAAATGGTACCATTATCACTTGCAGCTATATTTACAGACTGTTATGAACTGCCATGTGTGTGCTAGGAACCTAACAAGAACAGAAAGAGCTATTAACCACTGAGCCAACACACCAGCCTCTCTGTGGTGCCTTTTTTTTCTCAGCAAGCCTGCCTGCTAATTTTGTCCACTCAATCTTCTTTATGTTTTCAAGGAAGACCCACCACATACTGTGAAACTGTCGGGAAAGCTGAAATTTGGCTAATCAGGACATATTGGGATTTTGAATACCCTCGTCCATATTTACCAAATTTTGAGTTTGTGGGAGGACTGCACTGTAAACCTGCCAAGCCATTACCTAAGGTATGTCTGTGAAGGAGAAGATATTACATATTTCATGATACAATAGCTGCTTTCATCAAGGTAAACAACTTTAGTAACAGAGGTATTACTATTTAGTAGCTTCACTCTACTAGGGGAATTTACTTTCCTCATCATAGTTACTCTTTGATGAAACTTGATGGCTCTTTCAAACTTTACTGAAGGATTTAGGATTAAGAATAAAATTGGAATGATGTGTTACGAGGATCTGTAACTGTACTGTGGATACTGTAGTGAGTTATGAAAATGAGTCATGAAGGTCACCAAGGAAACTTCCTGCAGTCTTCTTCCTGTGTCTGACAGACTGCTTGGTAGAAAAAGATGCCTTCATGAGAGATCCAGGCAAATATAGGATGTAACAAGTCAAGAAAGCTTTCATTGAAGGCCTTCAGAATCAGGGTATTTCAGACCTGATCAATTAATTAATATCAAGCATTAATTAGTGCATTGATCTTGAATTGACAGTTATGAAATTGTCTTTCAAATACTTATGGTAAAGAACCAAAGATTTATTATTTCACTGAAGAAAACTTTTGAGAAGTCTTAAAAATATGGCCAGTTGGTGTAAATCGAGAGTCATCAATATCAAGTAAAAGTAATGAAAAAGGTAGACTCAAGTAATATATAGGAGCTCTATGAGTATGAAGTAGGAGTTTTTGAGTAAAAAAAAATGCATATCATATATTCGATCTTATAAAGAAAAAAGTGAAAGTCAGGAATGTTGAAACAAAAATCACTAAGAAATAAAAGATAATAGGTAAACAAAGTAGAAAAACTGTATCAGTAGAGAGAGGGGAGACAAGTAAAAAGTTGTTTGATTTGTAAGCCCTCAAGCACAGAATTTTCAGAAGATTGCAGATTAAATGGTATTTCCTCAGGAGTTCTGTGTTCCTATGTAGGCCCTGAAGGATGCATTTAAATGTGAACTTTCATGAATATGTTTTTCTTATATTATAGCTGTCACCAAGATTAACTGAATATTATTGTATAAAATTTAATGAATCAGTATCCAAGTGATACACAGATTGCTTGCTAGGTAAACTCTGGACCACACTTATATTTAACATCTTAGAGTCCCTGCATAGGGACCACAAAACTGCCTAGGAATATCTAACAGGAGTAAGGGGTACCTTCACTCCAAATTCAGGTTGTGTAACAAAGTAGACTTTGACCAAGTAAAAGTCAGTCATGGCTTTCATCTTTTTTTTGGAAATGTAGACTAAGGAAATATGAGGCTCATGCAAGAGAAGGTTCAGTCTCTCTCTCTCTCTCTCTTTCTCTCTCTCTCTCTCTCTCTCTCTCTCTGTGTGTGTATGTCTGTCTGTCTGTGTGTGTGTATTTCTATGTGTGTGCCTGTGTGTGTTACAATATAAATATATATTTGAGAGTAAATTTAAAAAGTGAAATAGTGCATCTTTCAACACCTATATTTTTAACCCCATCACTGAAGAGATGCAGGCAGGGAACATTTTAAATCTGAGGCAAGGCTGGGATGCATAAAAAGACTATCTCTAAAACAAAAACTGCCAATGAGAAATATAGTGAAGGTCTTAAAAATCTTCGATGTGAGCTGAAAATAGCAGTCTACTTCAATCAATTTATTGTAATTTTGACCATGAAAGGCAGAAGATACATATATAAATGGTGGCATTCACATGTCATTCTGTGAGGAATTCAGTCCATCCTTTTCTGTTCAGATTTTTAAAAAATGTGAATATTCAGGGAAGTTTGTTTGTAAAATACTTTTACTTTGACTGTAAGACTCCAATTAATATAATTATTGTCAGAATTATGTGGAATACAATCAATCGGGAAGACAATAAGCATTGCTCACAAATGTCATTATGTCTATAGCAATAAATTCACCACTATATTCTTCTGAAGTGTGTAACTATAAAATCCCACCACTAACAGATTTCTTCTTGGTTCTATGAAGTAGGGAAGACACTATATAAATAAAAGTAGCCCTGATTATTTGTCTAACAATCAAGAGAGAAGGTTGATAAATCTAGCAGTAATTTTTTATGTAATGGACATAAAAATATTAAAATTTCAGCCTTACTTGCATGGAATAATTTCCCAATTTTGCAAAAAGCTCATTGTTTTGAGGATTGTTAAATTTTGAAAGTAACAATTCCACTTATTGGGAGATAAGCTGCCTGGAGCTGCTGCTTCCTTATATGTTGATTTAGTGTCATATTTTTACTGCACATATTTTATGTATGCTTCAGAGAGGTATTTCCTCTTTAAAAGATTTGGTAGTTCTGCAAATAGTAAGACAGAATTGGTATAAGAATTCTCTGACACATCTTTTCATTTTTACAATTTCTTTCCTTTTTCACTTACAATATTCTCTGTTTTTGAGACAGGACTTGCTATGTAGCCCAGGCTGGCCTGGAACTTACTATATAAACCAGGCTCTCCTTGAATTACAGAGATCTGCCTTCTTCTGGCTCTAGAGTACTGGGATTAATGGAATGTGCCCCCATGGGAGGTAGCAGTGTGTATTTTTAATAAAATGAATGTTATGTTTGCAGGAAATGGAAGAATTTGTCCAGAGTTCAGGGGAACATGGTGTTGTAGTGTTTTCTCTGGGGTCAATGATCAAAAACCTGACAGAGGACAAAGCCAACCTCATTGCCTCAGCCCTTGCCCAGATTCCTCAGAAGGTAGGTACAACCTCTGGATCCTGAGGAGCAGAGCAGTTTAGAGGTAACTTGAGAGCATGGTTGACAGGGTTCTTTGAAGATGGAAACTGAAACTTATTACTCAGGAGAACAGTTGCCATAGCTTTCAGTAAATATTGATCAGGTGCTTGTTAGATATATTTGATCATTTGTCTACTTACTCAGCATGACTATGTCAAAACATGCTTTTGTAGTCTTTCTCCAGATCCATTCCTCCTCCATTTCCCTTCAAAATAACAGCAGGCCTCCCAGGTATAGGAACTGAACATAACATAATAAGTTAAAATAATACTAGGCACAAACCCTCAAATACAAAGATTCCAGACAACTTAAAATCCCACGTCCTGCACTGAATGCTAGCAAAATTTCCAGTTCACAATTTACGAAAGTGGTCCACAAGATGGGCAAGGTTACACACAGAGCAGAGAGAAACCAGGCTTAAAAAAAGACTGTAGGTTTTGTTAAGACATTACCAAGTGAACTTCACTTACAAATAGATGCACGCCTCAAGTCATGAATTCTTCCTAAATTGAAGAGAATACTTTTAAGTATGGACTTGTAATAATCAAAGAATATTAATTTTCCAATTTATATTTAACAAATTAATTAAAATCCTATATTTTATTCTCTACATAGGCTTACATTTATGTTCTAGACAAAGTACAAAAACTTACATGAAGCATGCAAACTATACTTATGCCTACAGTCTCCTACAATATTCTACCTCTTAATTATATAAACATTTCTCATTCTCTCTACAGAAAAATATTATGTAACAAAATGTTAAAATTTTAACCAACTATCTGGTCTAGAAACACAGAGAAACAGATATCTGGTCTAGAAACGCAAAGAGAGAGAGAGAGAGAAAGAGAGAGAGGAGAGAGAGGGAGAGAGGAATGAAGATGAAAGGACAGAAGCAGAAACAAAAATGGAAGGTGAGAGAGGCAGAGTCAAGTAAGGATAGGAATCTAAAGGGGGAGAAGAAAGTCATCAAATAAATAATAAAGACATTTACCACAAACACTAAACCTAGTTATATTTGGGGGGGGGGGGAGTCACATTTTGGACGTGATGATCAGGACCAATAGACCACGTGAAATAAATGTGTATGGCATTCATATTAATACTGGTTTTGAAACCAATATTCTGATTTATTAAAGTAGGTGTTCATTTAAATTCTTGTTCCACCAGCTTTTCAGTACTAAAGATTAAGGTGGTAGCATTATGCTTATTAGACTATTAGTAGAAGCAGTTATGAACAGGTCTACAAATATACTCCCTTCTCCAGGATCACCTAATAAATACAGGCTACTTTTGTTCTAAATAACACCGCTACTATACCACATCTTCATTGTGTGTGGTAGCCTGCAAAATCACAGCATTGTCTTCAACAGGTTTTGTGGAGATACTCAGGCAAGAAACCAGCCACATTAGGATCCAATACTCAGCTTTTTAACTGGATTCCCCAGAATGATCTACTTGGTAAGACCTTGGGTTGATAAACTATGTAGAAAACCAACATCAAATCAGTTGATAATATTGAATAATTTATATTTTCACCTTGCAAATATATTTAAATAGTTAGCCATTAAGTTAGGGGTTTTTGTTTGTTTGTTTGTTTAATTTTTTTTTGCCTTGGTGCACAAAAGAGCATCCCGACTTAAAACTCTCCTCTCTCTTTAGGAATACATCATTGCCCCAGTGATACCTTCTCAGTCAGTGAAGAAGGGGTTAATTCTGGGGAAGAAATCTCATGTGCCCAACCTTTGTAGGTTGTATTTCCTTCTTCAGTGACTCACAATATGCACTTTTTAAAATGTAAATAAAAAACAACCTTATTTTACATACCAATCCCTGTTCCCTTTCCCTCCTCTCATTCCTCAACCATCTCCCCATCCCAACTACCCCCCCCCATCCACTCCTCAGACAGGGTGAGGCCTCCCATGGGGGATCATCTAATATTAATTTGGGGCAGGACCGAGGCCCCCCTGTTGTATCCCTCCATATTGATGACTACCTTAAATGGCGTCATAGAATCTTCATCCAGTAACTGATGGAAGCAGAAGCAGAGATTCACACACAGCTAAGCACTGATCCAAACTCCTGAAATCCAGTCGTAGAGAAGAAGGAGGGAGGAGCGATGAGCAAAGGGCTCAAGACCATTCTGGGGAAGCCCACAGAAAACAGCTGACCTGAGCAAGTGTGAGCTCATGGACTCTGAACTCACAGCTGAGGAACCTGCATCAGATCAAACAAGGTGCCCCGAACATGGTGTCAGGGTTGCCGGCAGTGGAACCAGCATTTATCCCTAGTGCATGAACTGACTTTTGGAGCCCATTCCTGATGGAGGGACACTATGCATTTTTGTGCTACTATGATAGCTTGAAACTCATACCAACTTGTCACTCTGTCCCTCAAACAGGACACCCTAAAACCAAAGCTTTCATCACTCACGGTGGAATGAATGGGATCTATGAAGCCATTTACCATGGGATCCCCATGGTGGGTCTCCCCATATTCGCCGATCAGCCTGACAACATTGCTCACTTGAAGGCCAAAGGAGCAGCCCTGAAAGTAAATTTGAACACAATGACAAGTGAAGATTTTCTCAATGCCTTGCGAGCCGTCATTAATGAGCCCTCGTAAGTTTTGAAAAGCTATACCAGCCCCTGGTTAGCCTTGTTATCATTCTAGAAAATTGCCAATGTTTCATATTTTATATTTGTCTTATTTTCAAACAGGGTGATGTAAAACAAATGCAAAAAATAAAGGAAAATGTTTTACTCATTTCCTGTTTTTTGGTGTTAGTTCATGAAACAAGGAAAAAATATTGGCTTTGAAGATTGTACCAATCAATAGATTTGCAAAATATTTTATGACTGTACAAATTCACACAAGAAATAACTATATAAGCACTTATTTACATTTGTTAGATACAAGATAGAACTAATAAGCTGAATATTCTTTTTTTCAAAATAACAATTTGTAGTATTACTAAACATTACAATTAAGTAATAGTTATTTCTGTGTAAGGATGTCATAATATTTTGGCTAATCAAGAAATATAATTCGGGAAACAACCTTAGGGTTAAGAATGTCAATATTTCTTAGGGACAAGCTACTAATAACTTGAGTAAATGTTAACGTAGATGTGTGATACATTAGACTGTTACCAAGTTTTTAGTTGGTGATAATTTATTTTTATTAACTATCAGAGTGTGTACATTTTGTGATTCTTTTAAATAATACACAGAAAATTCATTATATTTTTCTGTTCATTTTAAGATTACTGATGCAAAAAGAATCATAAATATCTTTAGATGTATCTATTTAGAAAGCTAACATATATACAAGTATATATAAATAGTATATACCGTTAGAAAGATTATATGTATATGAGCTTTCTAAAAGTATTTATGATTATGTTAAGTACCATTTTACTATATTTTATATTTAACTTAAAATAACTCTATATTAACACTAAGCCAAATAGTATATGTATGATTTCTTGGGAACTCAGGGAATAGTGTTTTTATTCCATTATTTATCTGATCCTGTAAAACAATGAATAATTTCAACAGGGAGCTGGGAAGGAGGCTCAGTGTAAACTCTTATAATGAAGTGTGAGGACCTACAAGCACATTGCCTCTTTCACAATTCTAAGGCAGTCCAGTCGCACTGAAGCAACTATCCACAAACCACATACCTTCTCTCATTACCACCAATGAAATGAAACAGAATAGAACCAACATGAGACAGAGTAATTCTGACCCGGTTTTGGGAAACTGAAAGAGACAACATATTTTGCCTTTTAAAGATGATAAAACTTAACTCTTAAATATTTTTGTGCCAAATAACTGATGAATTTGATTTTAGGAAGCAATTTTTATTTCCTATACAACATCCAAGTCCTTGTGCTTGTATATGTCACTCTTAAATGACAGAGGTGCTTTTTTGTATTCAGTCACACATTGCTGATAGATGTAAGAGTTTATGAAGCAGTGAACAATGTCAGAGCTCTAAAATGACCCTGTATCTATAACATGAGCTACCTAGATCCCAGTGGCCACTTATACACATGGATGTCCCCTATCTTTATCTTGAAACAGCCTTGGACAATACAGTTCCTATGACATAACAATTGTTTCAGAAAGATGAGACTAAAGATTTAATACTGGATCCTACAATTTTTCTGTCTGTATTTGACCCCATTGTCTTAAGAACAGATTGCTTACACAACTTTTCCTTTAAACTTCTGACAACCTCTGAAACCAACAAAGTTCCAGAAAACATGAAGCATTCCTCAACTTACATATGACTGATGGCTTGCATAATGTACAGGATGTTTCATAAACAATTAATAAGACAGTTTATGCTTGTCTTCTAGTTATAAAGAAAATGCCATGCGGCTATCAAGAATTCACCATGAACAGCCCGTGAAGCCCCTAGATAGAGCCGTCTTCTGGATTGAGTTTGTCATGCGCAACAAAGGGGCCAAGCACCTCCGTGTGGCAGCACATAACCTCACCTGGTTCCAGTACCACTCGCTGGATGTGATTGGGTTCCTCCTGGTCTGTGTTGTAACCCTGGCATTCATCATCACTAAATGTTGTTTGCTTACTTGTCAAAAATTTTGTATGTCAGAAAAGAAGAAAAGGGGGAACAGAAAAAAAAAGAACTAGGTCTTTCTAGGTTTGAAAATGTCCTGAGTGACAGTTACATTAATTCTATTAATTCTATCCACAAAGAGCTTGCAATTCTTCTGCTTTTACACTATTTTCAGAAACCCTCTTTTTCCCCCTATATCTGACAAAATATGTTAAATGTTTAGGTGTATTTCATCTGTTCACTCATTTCTATCGTGGTCTTGTAGGCAGTCTTATCATTCTCCACTTACGGTCCTCAAATATGGAAAAGTGTTAATTCTAAACATGTTCTGTAGAAATGTAATAACAGCTAACAGTTTGTAATTGATATATATAAGGATCAATGTCACCAGCCTGTCATATTATCTAAGAATAACTACAGCAATTTAGTGTGTTATGAGAAGATACTTTTCTAATAAAAATGGACTTTTCTATTTCTCCAGTGTTGCTGATATTAATGCATGAATTCCTTTTATATTTTTGAAAATCTATATTTATTTAAAATAGTTTTCATGCATCATATTTTGATCACATTTTCCTTTCCCAATTCCTCGCAGATCCTCCCAATCTCACCATCCAGCCAAATTCATTTTCTTTCTCTCTCAAAAATATGTAAAAAAAGGAAAAACAACAAAACATTAAAATCAAAAGATATAAATGAAAGAAGAAAAAAGGAAGGAAGGAAGGGAAATCAAGGAGGCAAAAAAAAAAAAAATCAAAAAACATACCAAAAAAAAAAAAAAAAAAAGAAATGAAATATGGACTCTTCTCCTGGGTAGGTAGTTCTTATGCCCAATGAAACTGTTGGAGAAACTTATTTTCCCTCTCTCAGCAAATATCAATCACAAATAGCACTTGTTTCCATTCCCCCTTAGTGCTGGGCATGTGTTTGGTCTGAACCTGAGCAGGTCTTGAGCATACTGTCACATTCTCTGTATGCATATTAGTCCTGTTGTGTTTGCAAAACACTGACTCTTTGGAGTCATTCATACCTTTGGCTCTTAAGGTCTTTCCTCCTCCTCTTCTTTATTGACTCCTGGGCCTTAAGGGGAGAGATTTGATAGAGATATCCCATTTTGCTCCAAAGTCTCTCACTGTCTGCACAGAGTCAAGTTGTGAGTCTCTGAGTTCCTTTAGTAGAATAATAGTAAGTTTTCTGCCGGTGGCATGGCCTATCTAGTTTCAGATTCTTGGCCACTTTATCAGGGTCAGGTATTGGATCCATCTCGTGGAGTAGATATTATATTCAATTAAAGAATGGTTGTTCAGTCGTATACTATGTGTACCATTATCAAACCAGTATATGTTATAGGTACATCTCTCTTATAGATCACTGGGTGAAATGGATGATTACTTTTCATCTTTAGTGGCATGCATGGCATCTTGTTCAGGATAGAGTCCTGGGGCACAATGTGCTTTTCGACTTCAGTGAGACCAATGCACTCCCTCAGACAGTGAAATGTTCACGCCATTCCTTGTTCCCCTGTGTGCTCCTTTAGTAGTCAAGGAAGCATGAAAGCTTGATAGGACAATTAATCTTAGACATTAATCTTATGTACCCTGTATGTCTTGCAAACTTCGTTGTATCCTGGCAACTGCAACTGTACTGATCCTTCCAAGTCTCATTATTTTATGTTTGTGTTAAAAGTATAAAAAGCCTGATTGTTCTCAATGAAAGTGCCATAGCCTCAGTTGTGCTGTGGCTCTTCCAACCTGCTGTATGTAATTCCTTGAGGCTGTACCAGGCGATCTTGTCCCAGTTAAGTAAGCACAGATGCTTACAGTCTGCATCAATTGCTTACTAGCTGTCAGCTGCAGATCTTACGTTCTGTGGGCTTTCTCTGCACTCCTGTCCTTTTTGTGGTGCGGAACCTGTTTTGGGTGGTAAAAGTGTACACTCTTTCTCTCTCTGCCTGTATTTCAGATTCATGTGCTAATTTTATGTACAATTGACCCAAGCTGGAGAAAACACATTTTGAGAGGAGAGAACCTTAATTAAGAAAATGCCTCCATAAAATTGACATGTAGACAAGCCCGTAGGGCATTTTTAAATTAATGATTAATGGGGGAGAGCCCAGCCCATTGTAGGTGGAGCTATCCCTGGACTAGTGGTGCTGGGTTCTATAGAAAACAGACTGAACAAGCCATGAGGAGTTACACCTTTGATCCCAACACTTAGGAGACAGAGGCAGACAGATCTCTATGAATTCAAGGCCAGTCTGATCCTCAGAATGAGCTCCAGGACAGCCAGGATTACACAGAGAAACCTGTCTCAAGAAACCAGAAAAAAGAAGAGTAGGCAGAGGAGATGCAAAAGTACGGAACATTTACAGAGTCTTTTCTAAATTTTTAAAGGCTAGTATTATCCTGAGACCAAAACAAGACAAAGATCCATCAAAAAAAAAAAAAAGAAAGAAAGAAAGAAAGAAAGAAACTATAGCCTGATCTCTCTGATGAACATGGGAGCAAAATATTTTAATAAAATACACAAATGAATTTTAAAAAAAAACCCACACACTATAACAGCCTACAAGGAGAGAAACCATAGAATCACATCATTAGATGCACAAAAGCACTTTTACTTGACATCTCTTCAGGAAAAAAGTCCTAGAAAATCTAGAGATATAAAGAACATATCTTAATATAATAAAAATACCACCCAATAATAGTGCATATAGCCATAGAGTTTGGGTGTAAAGTAAAGAACTAGGGGGTAGTAAAATATCTACCTAAACTGGTGGGGCTGGAACAGAAAGATTGAACAGGGATGGGAGAAGATGGGGTTCAGGGGTAAAAATACAGGGAGGAACAAAACTAAGGGCCATTTAAGGGGTTGTTTGGAAAATTAATACAGTAAAAAATTCACAAAATAAAATAGGTCATGCACATTTGTAATTATAATAATTAATCAATGGTAAAAATAAGAACAAATTTGTAGTCAGTTCCAATTCCTTCTTATCTTTGTTTACATAAGCACCACACTGAGAACCTGACAGTGTCTGAATTGTGAACTTTGCACAACTGGTAGATTAATAATTGCTTACCAGTTAACTCAAGTTTTATAGCTTCAAAAGACAGAAAGCTCATTTTAATTTTGGTTGTTTAGTTTTTGAAGTTTTACTGGTTCAAACTGTAGCTTAAAGACAGTTATGCTTCTCTGTGTTTTCTTTTTGTATTGCTATGATTTGCGTTCTAGTTCAGGCCTGTATACTAAGCCCTCCATAATTAAGAGTGAATAAAACACTTAACCAATTTTCATGTAAGTCCTCCTTATTATCTACATAAATATTTATATTTTCTAATTTACACATGCATAGTGACATGTATTTCATTTTCTTTATATATAAAGAAAATATTAAATGATTATAAGCCATTTTCTTTGTTCAGCCTACAAATCCACTAGACAGAGCTGTGTTCTTGATTGAGTTTGTATTGCATCACAAAGGGGCCACTTGTACACAGCCACAACTGCTACTAATACTGCTAGCCTTAGGACCTGGATTCAATTCAACACTCACATGACAGCTAACAAATGTCTGTAACTCCAAGATCTGATACCCTCACACAAATATACATACAGGCAAAACACCAATGCAAATAATTTTTTAAAATGTTTAAAAAAAAAATGCTGCTTGTTTGCTTAGCAAATTTTGGGAAGAAGGGAAAGAAAGAAAGGAAGAAAGGAAGAAAGGAAGGAAGAGAATGAGTAGAGATTATGGTAATAAAATATTCTGAAAATATCTCTTACATTCAAAGGTACTGGAACTTTTGCTGGACCTCACAACCAGAGTTAATAATACACCTTGAGGTCACTTAAAGCTTAAGACTTTGAGCCAGTCCTGCACTCAAACTGCTTATTCAACCATCAGACTTTTAAAAGACAATGTAACAATCAAGCTTATTTGCCTTTGGATTTCCCATGTAATCAACATTTACAATCCTAGCTAAGGCATAACTGTAATCTTAAATTACATACTCTTCCATTTACCTAACCCATGCTGGAGTCCAGCTCCACTTGGATTCTTGTACCCCAGGAAGGATGTGTGAAGTAGGCAAAAAAATGAGGAGTCTGACCACCAGATATCTTTCAAATTGATGGCCCTGACTAGCTCTGACCATCTTTATATAAGTCATCCATAAACAACCAGAGAAATTTGTTGGGCTCTGTAACAGATCAGAGAAATTTAATTTTTCTGTAGAGGCTTTTGTTCCCAGTAAACTCAGGCATAATCACAACTAACAAGGTCAAACTAAGAGTTACCATAGATTAAGCACAGCAAAAGTTAGAGAAGTAAACACTGAGCCAAGCTCCTGAAATCCAGTTGCAGACAGGGAGGAGTGATGAACAAAGGGGTCAAGACTAGGCTGGACAAACCCACAGAAATAGCTGACCTGAACAAAGGGGAGCTCATGGACTCCAGTCTGATAGCTGGGAAACCAGCATAGGACCTACTCAGATTCCCTGAAATGTGGTATTAGTAGGGAAGACTAGAAAGTCTATGGGCCTCTAGTAGGGGATCAGTATTTATCCCAGTATACAAATGGACTTTGGAAGTTCATTCCACATAGATGGATACTCCCTCAGCCTAGACACAAGGGGGAGGGCCTGGGCCCTGCTCCAAATGATATGACAGACTTTGAAGATCTCTTATGGAAGGCCTCACCCTCCCTGGGGAGCAGAAAGGGGATGGAATGGGGGTTGTGGGGGAAACAGGGGAGGGTGGCATGGTGTGGGAACAGTGTTTGACATGTAAAACAAGCTTGTTTCAAATTTAAATGAAAAAATTATAAAAACAAAACAAATTTAGAGAAGCCTAAAATCCATGAGCTCCCTAAGATCAGCACAGGACTTTGTAGTACTGTATCCATAGGTCCTTGCCAAAGGGACAGAATTCTCCAAAGGGCCTTGCAGTCTAAGGAGATCCATTTGCAACACATTATGCATGGTTCCCAAGGGTGACAGCATGGTTTCTGCCAAATTCAGACAATGCATGTGTATCATTTGCTGGAAGCAGCAAATAT